AACTAGGAAGTGCACGAGGATGTCTGGAGGAGAGTCTGGCCACCCTTTAGAGGAAGCTCATTTCTGCCACAGTCTCCCTTCTTTTAGTTACTACCCACAACTCACGACCATAGCTGAGGGTAGACTCATCAATTGAGCGTTGCTTTTGCACTCAGCCCTCCCTTTACCACAGCAGAAAGTTTCCACTCGATACTCTGAACCAGTCCATCCTTCAATCTTCAGCTCTCTCCTTCCTTCACTTGTGAAGTTCCCGAAAAAGTTCCCGAAATACTTAGAACTTCTCCACTTGGGGCAACAACTCACTCCGAACCCAGAGTGCGCCCTCCGCCCTCGTCTGACTGAGAACCATGACCTCAGACTTGCTAATTCTAATCCCAAACAGCGAGTGTGAGTCACAGATCATTGTTTGTTGAAACCAGCACGACCGCACCATCAGACACGAGCAGAAACGTGATCCTGTGGCCAATGAAGCTTACACCCTTTACCCATTGGCTGCACTTGGAAACTATATCCATAAAAGTTATGAGCAGAATTACTTGGTCTTTGGTGACAAAGAACAGCCCTGCAGAAGCGCACCAGGTAAATTAAAAAATTAAGGTTGGAAAATTCCTTTTGCCAAAGGGAGCCTCGAACCAGCTGCTGGATGGTTCAAATTATGGGAGTGTGACACATCAAAGACTGTGCTTAACAGTGAGAAAGCTAATGAGAGGGGGAAAAGGATCACTTTCATGTGTGGAGGAAACCACAAGTACAGACGTCCCACCACCTAAAGAGAAGAGAAAAGACGACCACTCTTATGGTTTCTGCTGGACCGGATATGCCAACAGTCCTCAGCCTCATCTTTTGGTAGAAGTTAGCTTATGCTAGCATTGTGCCAAGAAAGCTAAACTACACACACGAGCAGCTACTAGCCTGTGTGTGTCTTACAAAACGCATATTTGTTAGTGGAGTGGTGGCACATTTGCAAAACAAATTATAGGTCCAGATGTTACAAATGTGCAGTGAAAGGGCCTTCATCTGACTTCAGACTCCAAATAAAATTGGCATAGAGGCTTTTTTGGATGGATATGAATACAGGTGTGCCCTGAAAGGGCAGGTCATTGTTCTTTCTATGCCTATACTCGGTGAATATAACGCTATTTAAAAATGTTCATACCCAGGGGCTCACATACGTGCACAAACACATTACAGTTGAATGCCCAGCTAAAAAAGTGATGCAACAAATGGCTTAAATGCACACGGTTTTCATGTTTTATGCTTAAAATGTAGTGACTTTGGTGCTTGGGTATTGATGCTTGAGTAGTCATGTTTGTGCCTCATCTTGGAGGCTCAGTTGTGGCGTGAGTGTGCGATCAGGAGTGTTTGTGAGCTTCAGATGTGACAGGTTGGAGCTCTGCCACTGTACGAGCTGCAGATAAGAGCTGCGTTCACCAGCATCGCCTGTGATTGTCATCTGTGGCGCCAGTGTGTGTTCAACAGCACTTTCTCCTTTCATTTCTTATCCTGCCTGCCTCTGTGTGTGAGAGAGAGAGTGTGTGTGCGTTACAATGACTTATGATGCTGCTCTCTTGGGCTCAGCTGGCTGCTTTTAATGGAAAATCAGCACATTAGACACACACATCACTCTCTCTGTCTCTCAATTGGTCTTGGTATTTCACATATTTCAGCTGTGTGGTCATCACTTTAACACACACACTCAATGTACTTATGTCTTTGCGAGGACTCTCACTGTATTCAAGGGCTTCTTATCTTAACCATTGCAATCTAAAGCTGAATCTAATCTAGCCTCCCAGGCTGAAAAATGAAGCCAATGAGACAAAAACTGCAGTTCCTCTGACGGCCACTCGCTCCACAAGTCTGTGCCCACAGACTCTTGGGTTGAAATTCCCATTTTTACAGCAGAAGTAAACATGTTTACAACCTCCTTTTGGTGCCTTTGAAGTATTTTTAGACTCAATTTTCCAAAATATTTCCCCTAAATTTCCACATTTTAACAAAAATGTCCTACTTTCGTAAAAACAACACATTCTGAAATGCTAATTTTCTAAAAATGTACTCTTGAAAAATATGCTAACTTTACTAAAAGCTGCCACTTTTCCAAAATATCTACATTTGCATAAAATGTCCAACAAAATTTTCCCCAAAAAATCTTTGCTCAGCATTGATTCACTTTCCCAAAATATCTCCACTTCCAAAACGTGCCCATGTGATAGAAAAATCTACTACTTCTCTAAAAAGGACACATTTTAAAAGCTAAATACATTCAAAAACATCCCCATTTTTCTAAATTTTTGCAAAATGTGTAACCAAATTGTCTTACACAAAGGATCAATTCCAAAATGCCGTCACCTTCAGAAAACTATCACTTTTCTCTAATGTCCCACTAAATATGAGGATCCATCCATCCAATCTCTTCCACTTATCCTTTTCAGGGTCACGGGGGGGCTGGAGCCTATCCCAGCTTTCACAGGGTGAGAGGCGGGGTACCACCAATCACTCCCACATTCACACCTGTGGGCAATTTAGAGTCATCAATGAACTTAATCCCACTAACTACTAGATATGAGGATATTTTAGGAAAATACCAACATTTTTTGAAAATGTATCTTTTCCAAAAATAAGGTTTTCTTTTTAAAAAAATTCCTGTATTAGTCCAAATATCTTCAATTTCCTGAAATGCACTTGTTTTAAAAGCGCTTCTAACATTCAATAAATGTCCATTTTCTGTTTTACAAAGCAAAATTCTTCTTTTTTTACAGAAAATGCTCCACAACCCCAGTTTTTTGAGGGGACGCTTGTAATGGCCTCATTGTGAACTAAATGTCCTCAATTTTTGGTAATTTCTTTTGATAATTTTCTCTTTCCAAATGGAACTTTACTTTCCACAAAATGTCCTCACGAGCTCTGAAATTCAATTCAGGCCTCACAAAGACACAAAAGTGCTCGCACTTATGAACAATGAGGCCGTTCTTGCAGCTCTGCAGAAAAGATCATTTTAATATCAGTGCTTTATTAATTACAGCCCTGTCTCTGCTTCCGCGTGTGTGTGTGTGTGTGTGTGTGTGTGTGTGTGTGTGTGTGTGTGTGTGTGTGTGTGTGTGTGTGTGTGAGAGAGAGAGAGGTAAAAAGCCGTAAAACTGTGGTTGGATGGTGAAGTATTTTTGCTGAGGATGGAATATTGACCTGAACCCGTTTTCACTTAATGAAATTTGTTAATTTTGTGTGTGTGTGTGTGTGTGTGTGTGTGTGTGTGTGTGTGTGTGTGTGTGTGTGTGTGCAGCAGACTCTGTCCTGTAGTGTCATACAGGAGGTTATTTTTTACAGTAGATGTTTTTGCTGAAGTAAGATTATAGAGCTGCCACATCTTAATTAATCTGTGTGTGTGTGTGTGTGTGTGTGTGTGTGTGTGTGTGTGTGTGATGTAAGTTAATGAAATGAGCAGCAGACCAGAGTCATTAAGACACATTGATTTTCAATCTTTCTGAAAACCCGACTTCGGTTTCACCGGCTGTGTGTGCGGCTGTGTGACGTCAGATTATCTGGTGCCTTTGGAGTCGAGCTGACATATTCAGGACACAGCCTCTCTGTCTTCTCAGCAGCATGGGAGATGAAGTGTATTGTTCAACACACACACACACACACACTCACAGAGGTTATATTTTTTAGATTTTTGTTCCATTAACACCCCACTGTTTATCTCCGATGAGACCGGCAGGTAGATCAGGTTCGTATCAGCTCTAAGTCCATAATGTTGTTTCTTTGACAGTGTTTTGTTGGTTACCATAGAGACCTGCAGCCGCCATGACAACACCGATCCAGTATGTGTGTGTCTGTGTGTGTGTCCATTTTCCATCTTTTTCTTTAAAGCAGCACCATCTGTCCTCAATTTCTCTGAAAAGAAACTGTACAGATCTTACCTGAAGTAACGCCGGCTGTAGAAACATTAGCTGTGGGACTTTCACCATATGCTGCTGTAGCGCCTACAAAATGTGTTATTTTCAGTAATATTGTTACATACTTGCAATCTGCCACAACCTCAGCACCACGGACATAATTAAGAGCACATTTAAGATTTTTTTTTAAAAGGCTTCCTGCTATTTAAATGGATGTCGCTATGATGCGCACCACTTACCTAAACAATGACTGCAGTTAAGCAATACTTAGGGCCTGCATTCATCTTCTCTAATGGCTATCCTGTCTCAGGCACATGTCTGCTCAGATCCCTGAAGATGGATATCTGTCTGCTGTATGGTATTTGCCATTACTGTATTACTTAATTCTTTAAAGTCTACATGCAAAGCAATTTTCCTGTTGTGCATTGCTTTGGTCACTAGTATACCCAGGGTTCAATCCGGCACACCGGACGGTTTTTTTAGACCCTGAAAAGTCTGCAGACTGTTTAACATGTGCCAACCCTCCATTGGCACTCCCTGATGGCAGTGGTCTCTTTCAGCAGGATGGGGCTCTCAGCGAACATGACAAGGAGTTAAAGGTGCTGCCTCAGCCTTTCAGTCTGACTGAACTCCTGTGAAATGTGGTGAGGAAAAGAAAAGTCATCCAGTCCATGGTGGCCTCACATGATAACATCCAGGACTTACTGCAAAGTCTCTAAAACCTTGGTGCCTCCGGAGGTCTGTGGAGTTCAGGGTTTGATGGTTCAGAGTTGTATTTGGAGCAGGAGGGTAGTTTTGATGTTTGTCTGACTGGTGGAGTAAGACAGGAATACTGACTGCACTGACACTTGTGTGAATATCAGCTGTACTCATATTATTACAGTTGCCAGTGTGGTTATTGAACGCTGGCTTCAGTATATTTTATCTGCATATACAATCATTTGCATTGTTTTTTGTTCTTCTCTCTTCTCTACATCGATTTGTTCTTCTCCTCCTTTAATTAAAATTTGTTCCTGCTGCTTCCCGTTAATTAACACAGAATCAAATTTTCCGTTTCCCAATTAAAACGTGCCATACTTAAATTACTCCCCCTCTGTGTCTCTGCAGTATTGGTATGAAGGGGACGAGGCTGGTGATCTCCCGGTGGATTTCTCCATTGTCTGGGATGGAGATTTCTTCATCGACAAGCCCGCGTCTATGAAAGGTAAAACCTGCTAATCAAACTGCTCGTCTTCAGAAATCTGTGAGTCGATTAGGACTTAGCTTTTATCAACTTTGATTGCTTTATAATCAGTCTAATTTAAGTTTTAGTTTGTATGGTGAATATGAAACAAATGAGACACCATCAGTAAATATAAACATCAAGTTTATTTAAATGAAACATACAGAGCTACAAAAGTGTGCGTTTCTGTTTGTCGTAAATGAAAACAGAAAGGACAAAAAATGTTTAAATGCTCAATATTTAAAGCCCATATTGACACAAATGAAAGGTTTTCAAGGTGTTTTGTAGCTCAGGATTTTGGGTTATTCTTCCTATTTGCTATGCTCTTAGAGATATTTAACGCTGGGTGTGAGCGGGGGCTTTGCAGGGGCTTTGTGGCTCTCTTGAGGTATCCCATTGATTTGGAAATATTTCCATCCTATAAATCTCATTATTTTTTTTCTTCATAGCTTTTTGTAATATTTGCTTCTGGAATTTGGTCCTTCCATGGTTGAATCCATGCTTCCTTTTGCCAGTGAAACATTCACAGTGTCTGCAGCACAGGCCTAAAGCATGATCGATCCACTGTCATGCTGAACACTTAGAGAGATGCTCATACTTCTGTGAAGCAAAAAATTTCTATTTGCCTTCTAGGAGTTGTTCCAAACACGCATTTAAGCCCTTTAGATGTTTGATTGCAAACATCTGGCACTGAAATTTGTGTCGAACAGAGATTTGTTCTTCCATGAAGCTTGCAGCGATGTGGGTTAGCTGCTTAGCAGAACAGAGCGACACCGCTCCAGAGTTTGCTTCCTGAAGGTCATCAGTCAAACTTCTACAAGTTGTTTCCTCTGAACTTGCAGACCTGAACTTCCACTCGCCCGTTCCTGCAAACATTCATTTTCTTCCAGTGTTCTCTTGCTTTGGGGCCATCGTGTAATTTTAGCAGCGTCGAGCAGCTGATTGCTGCTGATTGTCGGGACAGAGTTTGAGTATTTATAGCACAGGTGTCAAACTCATTTTATATCATGGGCTACGTATATAACAAATTGATCTCAAGGGGACCAAATCAGTAAAACAATGTTGCTATAAGCTATTTTTAAACTTCACACTCAACTCTCACATTTAATGAAGCAAAGTTTTACCAAACATGATAAACAGCCTGAGGAAGAAAAATAAGTATCATGTAAAACAATGTATTATGAAAGTATGTGCACTTAGTTTGGTAACTTTGTGGAAAAAACCTGTCATTATTTCTCAGCCTAACATCTTTCAGTTTGGAATAGATTATTGCCTGAATCATTAAAAGCCCATAAACCTGCAGATGATTTAGACCTCTGGCTTGGATGAAGTTAAACGTTTGGAAAACCATTCGGATCAATCCGTCTTTTCTTAATGATTGTGACAAAATCCCAAAAAGCCTGCTTTATTTATCTGCAAGTTTCTTTGAAAATTCCTCCAGTGGGACGGGTTAACCCCTTGGTGGGCCCACCACAGTGACTGTGATCACACCACATCCCCAACGAACTGATTAAACTGTGAGACTTGGATAAAGTTATGGGACTAAATGGCAAAAGGCAAAAATAATCAACAGATTTTTCTTAAACTTTCTGCTTTGTGAAAAATCACCTCATGATATCTTCATGCTGACAGTAGCAAAAATGCACATACGACTCTTCCACCTGTGATACGCCGTGTTTGGCTGCTGTCTGATCAAACGTGTGCTGTTTGTCAGCGTTGCTGTACAAGTGTGAGGCTCAGCGCTCCAGCTGTGGTCAGTGCCTCAAAGCTCCAACTGCCTTCGAATGCGGGTGGTGCACCGAAAGCAGGAAGTGCCTCCTCCGACAGCACTGCCCGTCCCCCGAACAGAACTGGATGCACTACACCCGACACAACCTGCGCTGCAGCCACCCACGCATCACCAAGGTAGGGAATCAAACCTGCGACTTGCATGCTGCAGGGTTGTCAGTTCACTGTAATCAGTACTGGAAGCCCTCTTCGAATGATCGCAAACAACCAACAATAAACTAATTTACCCATTTTGGCCTGATTTTACATTTCTGCCATTACGTACAGTTGTGTGGTAGAACAAGGCCTTTGCTCAATACTACACAATGCTGTTTGTCCCAACGAGTACCAGAACACTAATACATAAACAGTCTAGTAATGTTGGCTTTTTGCATGTTTTGAGTCGAACATGTTTTAGAAGATATTAAGTCATGTGTTCACAATATTTTGTCTTCCTTGTTTATGTCAAGGAAAGTAACACAATGCAACACAAATGATCATAAAATTAAAACAACTCCCTAAAATGACCTTAAAAAGACCCTGAGGGTGTGCGCTACCATCCCATAGAAACCTGTAGATGTGTTGTTTAAGTTTATGCTGTTTATTAAAGGATAATCACTGCACAGACATTTTTATCATTTGTGTCTTTCTCTGTTTTGAAATCTATTTAAATATAACTTATTGAGACAACAAGAAAACATGGACAGACAGTAAGTGGCAGCTGCAGCAAATCAAGAAACAGATGTCATGTGATCTCTAAGCTGCGCCCCTCCCCCACAGATCAGTCCAGTGACAGGACCCCGGGAAGGAGGGACTCGGGTGACAATCGAGGGGGAGAACCTGGGTCTTCAGGTGAAGGAGATCGCCCATGTTCAGGTGGCGGGAGTCCGCTGTAACCCCATCCCCTCGCAATACATCAGCGCAGAGAGGTCAGTGGTGTCAGCATGTTGGTATGAGGACACGTTGGAGTGTGTGAGTGCGTCTGACCGTCTCTCTGTCTGCAGGATCGTCTGTGACATGGCCGAGGCTCTTCTGCCTCACTCTCCAGGCGGTCGGGTAGAGGTCTGCATCGGCTTGTGCAACGAAGAATATCGAGCTTTCTCCAGTGACACGTACGCCTTCGTGGTGAGTGCTTCAGCATCCTGTTGGTGTGTTTACGTGCACTAAAGTCACCATTTCGCACTATTTGTGATGGAAACTGAAAGGTTGAGTTATCAGGATTAGATTTCGTGGAATTTTAGACTTTCTTAAATTTAAATCTTCAGGTCTGCCTTGTCTTAACAGTGCATGGAGGAAGCCGAGTTAATTATAATGGACTATAAATTATCATACAGTGGAAAAACTCCTGTATGATACTTGATGTTTTTTATTCTTTAATGTACCACCGCTGTCTTTTGTGTTTTATTCTCCAGAGCCCGACTTTCAGCCGTGTCCATCCAGAGAAGGGACCTGTTTCTGGGGGAACCAGACTGACGGTGATGGGTCGACACTTGAATGCCGGCAGCTCTGTCACTGTCTACATAAACAAGGAGGAGTGTCTGTTTGTCAAGTTAGTTGGGATCTCTTGACTCTGACATGCACCCAGTAATATATCTGTTGGTAAATAATAACCAGATGCAATGATATATCTCTCTTTCTCCACCAGACGAACTGATCGGGAGATAGTTTGCATAACTCCCAGCTCCACGTCAGGCACGGGCGAAGCCCCCATCCGTCTGAAGATTGATAGGGCCGAGGTTACAAGCACAGATACCAAGTACACATACACGGATGACCCAACCATCACCAGCATTGAACCAAACTGGACCATCCTCAAGTAAATCCTCCACATTCTCCTCATCACTAATCAAATAATCAATCACGATAATGGATCTGTAACCTGTGCGTCTGTTATTTGCGCAGTGGCAGTACGCTGATAACTGTGACGGGAACCAACCTGCACACCATCCAGGAGCCCAAAGTCAGAGCCAAATATGGAGGAGTGGAAACTAACAATGTAAGAACAAAACTCTGACCTCAGTTATTCCCAAGTTCAGGATCGGGACCTTAAACTGTACCGCAGCACTTATTGGTTTTATGCTCTGAAATACAATAAAGGTTATTGGAGTTTTGAGGAGATGAAGTTTGTTTGTGAGATGTTGTTTTAAACCAGTTTCAGCTGCGACCTTAGCCGTCAGCACTCTGCAGTCACCCTGCATTCTTCGTCCTAACCGGACTTCATGGTTTTCTCTCCAGTACTGCACTGTAGTCAATGACAGCACAATGACATGCTTGGCTCCTGGTCTGGTCTACACTAAACCCGACCCGCCAGAGGGGGCGCTGCGGCCCGATGAGTTTGGCTTCATCTTCGATCAGGTATCGCTCACCCACAGCAAGCAGCACCTTCTACTTTATCATAGTACAAGCTTATGACACGCACAAAAGAAAAAAATAACCTGAATCACACAGATCAGAGATAAAAACACACGTGGAGCATTTTTACTCTAAATGACATGTTGACATTACATTAATATTTTCATCCTGTGCAGGTGTCCTCTTTGCTGGTGCTTAACTCCACCCCCTTTACACACTACCCGAACCCAACCTTTGACTCCTTGGGGAACTCTGGGATCCTCGAGGTGAAACCAGGGTCACCCATCATCCTCAAGGTTTGAGTTCTCAAACTTGATGCAATCCATATTCAAAGTATATGTGTGAATGATCCAGCTAAACTTGTCTGTGTGTTTCAGGGTAAAAATTTGATCCCTCCTGCCCCTGGTAACAACCGCCTGAACTACACAGTCCTGATTGGAGAGTCACCCTGCCTCCTAACCGTGTCAGAGAACCAGCTGCTTTGTGATTCACCGGATATCACCGGAGAAAAGAGAGTCGTGGTGAGTAATCTCCTCTTCATTCTTACCTTAACCAGTGATTCATAGAAAACAGCAAGAAATAATCAAGAAAGGTTACAGGACACAGGAAAGGGAAGTTTGTTACATTTTGTTTTTAAAGTGAACAAAACTGTAAAATACAAAGAGGAAACACACAACTACAAAGCAAGAAAAGAGAGACAAGAGACCATAACATACAAAAATGAGACAAAACAGTCGCTGAAACCAGAAAAAACAGACAACAAAGATACAAAAAAGACCTGAAAAAGGAAAAAACATTATAAGGATGCTTCAGACTACACAGAGATTTAAAAAATGGCCAAAACAAAAAACAACCACAATGACCACAAAGAGCAAATCAAAGACACCAAAAAGGATTCAAAAAATGACCATAGAGCCAATAAAAGGGACAAAAACAGGTAAAAACCTCTGCAAACATCAACTTTATATAACAGAAAATGAACCAACCATGAAGCAGGAAATCAATAGATCAACTTATTACAAATAAATATTTTGTGTTGGTGTATGTAAGGTTTTTTTTATGCTGAATTTATTTCCTGACTGAGCTTCCGAAAAGCTTTCTGTCAGCTTTTTCCAGACCTTTTAAGAGTTCATGTCTAATGTGCTTATTTCTCCACGGAAACGCCACCTATTTATTGTTTATGTCTTTGTTTACGAGGGGCAGCCAATGAGAAGAAAGCTGGCTTACAGGGAGAAATGAAAGACACCTAAAATGGCTTGTTTTAGCTAGTAGGTGAACTCAGTATGTGAAAAATAAGGATTATTTTGAACTGTGAATAATAGAAAGCTACTTTAGTACAGTGGAATTATAAAGCTGGATATGAGAATAATAGGTCTCACTCATATTTTTAAGGTTTTTTGAATACCTGTAAGTGGATTTGGCTTTTCTCCTCCATCTACCAGGATTCACTAAAGTATCACATGAAAAACAAGCCTAAAATAGCTTTGATGTGACTTTGTCTAAGTCATAGACACTGACTGTGTTTATATGGACTTGAGTATCCTGGCCGTGAACTACTTTTTGAAGGGAGAACAGAGACAGGAAGAGGAGGAGTAGGAGGATAAGGAGGAAAAGGAGGGGGTCTTTATAAAGGTGAAAGTCATTAAGTGCAGCCGCAGGGAGTCATGGGTAATTGGTTCAATATCACATATCATAGAGTGACACACACACGCACACAGAGTAATGTTTCCTGGACTTCAGAGGACATTGCACTGCCTTACACTCATTTCCTGAAGACTAAATTTAGCCCAAGCTTAACCATACATAACCGACAAATACGAAACAAACAAAAGCAAGAACATTTTCAGATATATAAGAAAAAAAATGTAATTAATAATAAGAAATAATCATTTCTTTACACATGAATGAGATACACACAGCTCAGCCTGTGGAAGAAATGAATAAACTCTTATCACTTATATGATTTACCTTATGGGGACTTTTTTGTCCCCACGTAGTGGTTTTGTACATACATTCATGTCCTCCCAACACCATGTATACAAACACACACACACACACACACACAGAGCTCTTCAAAGTGAAGTTGGTATCAATGAACAGAACCTCCTACGAGACAAACTATTGATATATTATTAAAAGTATCGATTATCATTTCAGAATGCCTCCCTCCCCTCCGGCGTCTGTTCATATCTTCTTTATCATTTATTTATCAGTTTGTTCATAGTACCTTCATCTGTTGTAGAATCGATATTAAAAGGCTGTAAAGAGGAAACACTTTAATGAAACATTAATACAAGAGACAACAAAGATAATGAAACACGTATAACATGAAGATCTATCTGTGTGTGTGTGTTTATACATTAACTGTATAATTTGTTACAATTTTGTCTCTTTAAAAGACTGAAAATCTGTATTCTCCTGCAACAAAGTATCATTACCAAAGTTACTGTGTAACATCTGCACAGTGGATGGCAGCATTTAAAACTTTACAGTTTTTCTTTAACCAAAGCTAAACTGTGTTAGTTATGAAGGATTTAACAGAGTAATTTAAGGGAGGAATTGTACTTAAAGCAGCAAAATGCCTCAATTCAGATAATTCCATACAGTTTTATTCATATTGTGCCAGTTCACAACAGCTTTATATTATAAACTGAATATTAGTGAATCACAACTATCGGACGGGTATAAACAAGCACATTAGCGTCACAGTTATGGGATCATAACTGGAATAAAATATAAGATATAAGATGTGCCTGTCTCCTGGACCCAAATTGGGAGCTGTTTCACAGGAGAGAGGCCTGATAGCAGACGACTGTGTCTCCCATTCGACTTTTGGAAACTCTAAATATCTCGAGCAATCCTACAGTTTGAGAGAGAAGTGCTCTAGTATAATAGTATGATATCATGAGGTCTTTAAGACATGATGATCATCCAGGACTTTGACAGCTAAAGGGTTTTAAATGTAACTCTGGATTTAACAGTTAAAATAGGCTAATATAAGAAAAATATGTGACTTTTTGATCACAGAGTCCATTTCATGAAGCTTTCATGACAATATGAGTCTTTATGGCACTTTGAAATAAGGTATGACAACTGTGAGATAATCAAAAGTAGATAAAAAGTTATGAAATTGATCAAAAGGGAAAAAACTTTGATGTTGGGAGGTAACCGTGTCATAAACACGTTTTTGTTCTGTCTTCTGTAGATCTTGGTGGGTGGTCTGGAGTACTCCCCGGGCATGCTCCATATCTACTCCGACAGTGCCTTGACGCTGCCTGCCATCATTGGGATCGGAGCAGGCGGAGGCGTGCTGCTCATCGCGATCATCGCAGTGTTGATCGCTTACAAGAGGAAGACCCGTGATGCCGACCGCACGCTCAAACGCCTCCAGCTGCAGATGGACAACCTGGAGAGCCGGGTGGCGCTAGAGTGCAAAGAGGGTGTGTTCTGCCTTCCTTCCTTACCTCCAGTCCTTCCTTCTGTGGTGATTTGTTTTAATGTTCTTCTTCCTCTCGCAGCCTTTGCGGAGCTGCAGACAGACATCCAAGAACTTACCAATGACATGGATGGAGTGAAGATTCCCTTCTTGGAATATCGGACATACACCATGAGGGTCATGTTCCCTGGGATAGAAGAACACCCCGTCCTCAAAGAGCTTGACGTATGTACAATACGGCAGGATGTTCGGATCTTTGAGTCTCTGGATCCACAATTTTTCCCTGATCATAATAACAGGGTGTGGCAGCAAATCAGCCCACAGGTGGAAAGAATTTCCTAAACTTGGTGAACTATAATTTCCAGAGATTAGTTTTTCTTCCCTGATTGTGGATTTATATTTAAATTATTTCTGTAGATTATTACTGTTTTGGTTTTTTTTAGGTTTATTTCTATTTATTTCTATTTTTAAAAAAGACAAAATCTCCTTCTTTCAGGCTTAGACATTTATATTTGTGATCTTTTGTTTATATTTATTCTAATTTTATTTAGTTTAACCAGGTTTATTCAAACATTTTATGTTTATTCATATTTATTTCCCCTTTAGGTTTATTGAAATTTGTTTAGTTCTGTTTTCAGGTTTTGTTTTTGAACTTTGTCAGTTTTATTGAAGGTTATTCTCATTCATATCTTTAGGTTTATTGTCTGTTGTACAGATTTGTTCATCTTTTATTTTTTATTTTTTCACATTTTTTCCTATTTCAGTTTGGTTCTTTGTTCAGGGTTACTTACATTTATTCCACATCTGTCAGGTTTGTTCATGTTTATTCAGGTTCATTCTGCTTTTGTCATCTGGTTGAGTTTATTGCTCTTTCCTTCTTTCATCCTCCGGGCTTATTTATTAAATCCATTTAAATTTCTGATGGTTTTTCAGATTAATAACCACTTGTACAAATTTAGTCTTTTTTCAGTCCTAGCTTGGTTAACTTGCCTTGTTCTGATTTATTTCCACATGTTTAGGTCTTAGGTTTTGGGGGGTTGTTTAGGATTTTTCTAGTTTATTTAGATTTATCAACTAAATAATGAATTTATATTTATATCACTGTGGATTTGTTGATGTTTATTTGGTTTACTGATGTTATCTTTAACCTCTGACCTGACCTCTTGGTGAGCGACTCTCTGTTTGTGTTTAAATAACTAAGTGCACATGCATCTGTTTAGTCTCCAGCCAATGTGGAGAAAGCTCTGCGTCTCTTCAGCCAGCTGCTGAACAACAAGATGTTCCTGCTGACCTTCATCCACACGCTGGAGGCTCAGAGGTCGTTCTCCATGAGAGACAGGGGGAACGTGGCCTCCCTGCTCATGGCTGCTCTGCAGGTATCTGTCACAGTGCTACAGCCTGCTAATTATGCTGGTTACTACACCTGTAGTGATAGCAGTAGAGGCTTGTAAACCTATTATGAGTTAAAAAAAATGTAAATAATTGCTGAGCGGTTTAAGTCTTTGTCTTTGCCTCTTCAGGGTCGGATGGAATATGCTACAGTGGTGTTAAAACAGCTGCTGGCCGACCTGATTGAGAAAAACCTGGAGAACAGAAACCATCCCAAACTGCTGCTGAGGAGGTGCGTTCCCTGCTGTTCACTTTAAGTTTGACTGTTTTCAGTGTGAGTGGGTGGTCACACCTGGAATATTAAAGCTGATCTGCTGAATGAATCCACGTCTGGCTGATTAACAGCCTGCACTGAATGTGTCGCATCCCATGTCTAAGAGCTACTTCAGAATAAAAGTCCTTGTTTATGAAGCCGGTGTAGCAGCCCTGTCTTTCCTCCTTCAACCCCCAAATCCCTGCCTCCTGCTCTCTAACTGACCTCATTAAGCTCTTCCTGTCCAATTTGATGTGACCAATCAGGAAAGAGCAGGAGTTAATGTTTTCACTAATGACCTCCGACCTGTATATATGTGTTTAGGACCGAGTCTGTTGCTGAGAAGATGCTGACGAACTGGTTCACTTTCCTCCTCCATCGATTCCTCAAGGTACACCATCCTCTCTGCTTTTTCCTTCCTTCCTTCCTACCTTTCCTCCTGCTCCCCCTAATTGACCTCATTAAAGTCTGCCTCTCAACTCTGAGCGTGACCAATCAGATCAGAGCTGCAGCTAATTTATTCATAGGGAATGAAGGGGATTGGCTTAAATCCCCCTGATGAGTTTTGAGGATTAAACTGTAGTAATAAACCTGGCTTTCCTCCTTCTCTTCTTTCCTCCTTTTAAAAAAAAAATCTCCCCTCCTTCCCTTCATTCCCTCCCCTCTTCCTGTCCTTCAGGAGTGTGCGGGCGAGCCTCTCTTCATGCTGTATTGTGCCATAAAGCAGCAGATGGAGAAGGGACCGATTGACGCCATCACCGGAGAAGCTCGTTATTCTCTCAGTGAAGACAAACTCATCCGACAGCAGATCGACTACAAACAGCTGGTAACGCACACGCGCACCCACACCAACCAAAATTAAATACAGCAGTTTGAGCTGTGACTGAGTGCAGCTGCGGTGAGAATAGACTGCTGGTTTCACCATATTTTGGTAGTTTTGTTTATTAGTTATAAACCACATTTCCAGCCTTAGCTTTGTCAAGTCATTCCTAGAGAAATTTGATGAAATAAAGCACACGGCCGTTTAAAAAAGACAAAAAACGCTACATATTTATTCACATTACTTTCCAGTGTAAAGATTTGCAGCTAAGGACATGTAAGCTTCAATCATACATCATCTTCACTGCAGTAACCCAAGTCCTCGTGGCCCATTGACGGCTAAATGCTAAACATAACAGCGTGTCCATAATAACACATTATACTGGAAACAAACTGGGTAATTGATTTTTGACTTGACCTAAACTAACTTCCCAAAAAAGCCATCTATTAAAAATATGCAATGACAAATGGAAATAATTAAATTTGTTAAAAAATCTTCTGTAGATATTTATGATTTTTTTAAATGAATTCATTCATTTAGATGCCTTGAATAATGAAGTGAAGCTCTAATGTGATGTTACCTCCATTAAATCTTTGTTTTATTGACAGGCACCTTCTGTATCATTGCCCAACAGAAAGGTTTTAAATGACAGCACGCCATGTCGGGGGTTTTTCAGTGAATAGCAGTGTTGAAATATGCAGTATAAGTTTATGCTATAGCAGCACGTTTAAGCCAGAGCTCTCAATCTGTCAGCTGTCTTGCTTGTTTGTTCCCTCCACGTTTACCCAAGGTCAATAATTTGTGTTAATTTAACTAATTTAGACTTAATCTGTTAATAAAAATCAATTTCATAGAAAACAAATGCAATTTTTGTAATTGATAACCTCAAAACAAACATTTATATCGCTAAATGAGGCAGTGCTTTCCAGAACAGTCTGTGTTACTCTTTAATTGCGTGCTATACGATATAGCTGAGTAGTGTGTGAGTGTATGAGTACAATATGTTTCTTATTTTATTTGAAATACACAGCTGGCTACTGACTTGTTCCCCATAATTTTACAGCAGGAACCAGCAGTGTTTTATTGGTACCTGATTCATACAATAAACTCACCCTGTAAATTGCAGGCTCCCTTATAACGTGTTACAGATGAGTCCTTTAACTCACCACAAAGTGGATTTTGTTGCGTTCACTGTATCCATAGCAACAAGCATCATTGAAGCACAGAAGCAGGATGTTTACGACCACCCGGCGTTGTTTTCTGTCGGGGGTCTGCGGCGAATGAAAGTTCAGTGTTTGACACACCAGCTGGGGATTATTATAAATTATGTAAAGGGCGTGTGTGTGTGTGTGTGTGTGTGTGTGTGGGGGGGGGGGGGGGGGGGGGGGGGGGGAGCATGTTAAGTCAGTGAGGGTCCTCGAAAAGACTGTGTGTGTGTGTGTGTGTGTGTGTGTGTGTGTGGTTAAAAATATCCAATTTAACAGCCCGTGACGTTTTCCTCGCTGTGACAACACTGTGGTAAACACACAAGCAGCAGCTTAATAAAGTTTGGTGCAGACAGATGAGTCTCTGCTTTCTCTCTCGCCGTCTCAGACGCTGATGTGCATCCCCCCTGAGGGTGAAGTTGGGACTGAGGTGCCAGTGAAGGTGCTGAACTGCGACACAGTCACTCAGGTCAAAGACAAACTGCTGGACGCTGTTTACAAAGGAATCCCATACTCGCAGAGACCTCAGGCCGACGACATGGACTTGGGTAACTACTGACAGATATCCTACTTCAAGAAAAGGCGCAGACAGTATAAAACATGGATGCAGCTTTTCATCTGCAAAGTGCATTCTTTCTAATAGCCTGCAGGGGGCGACTCCACTGGATGCAGATAGAAGTATTGCTGTTTCAAAGTTGTCACTCAGTGTATGGCCTCCGTGCTGTTTCAAAGCCTAATTAAATAGAACATGAGATTATTTTGGTAATAATGGTCGTTACCGGAGTCACAAAGGTGGCTACAGTCGGGTACGTTCACTGGTTTATAACTTATGAAAGGACTTTGCTAACCAATGGATGACATCTCTGTGGCTGTGATGTGATTTTTACATAAACTTTGGATTAGCTCAGAAAATATTTTCTTGTTTAACAGCATAACATCTACAAGTCAATGTTGTTTTTCTAGTTTTTGAGACATAATTGCAATTGCTATATGTAAGACGCTACTGTTACTCAGTGAGTTTAACGTCACCATCACCACTCAGGTCCTGTCTTCAGCATGATGGGGTTTAATGTCCCCAACAACCCGCCAGCTGCTAGTTAGTCCCCAGTTACACAGGACTAAAGACCAGTTGGCAACTCCCTGGCAACCACTGTGGCTAGATAAAAATGTTTCCTTAACTGGTTGGCAAGCGGTTGGAGTTGCTGGTACTAAACAGGCAAAACTGGTGGCAACCGCAATGCAAACCAGAAAGAGGAAGCGTTAGCCTTCAAAGTAAAAGTTCCATCTTTTAAAATGGACTGTTACAGTTACACAGCACTACTTTTACTTCAGTTCCAGTTTGTATTGCACCTTTCACAGTTTTTCTGCATCTCAGCAAGTAGTTGAGCGATAATTTTATACAAGTTGCCTGCAGCAGTTGCTAGAAACCACAACCACTGTGGCTGGTTTTACCTAGAGACAGCACTGCTTACAAACCAGTCGGGGGATGCTAATTTATCCCTAGTGGGGGAAAAATAAAAAACCCTGTACCACCGAGTAAACAGTCACTACGCATGTGAGTTCTTGGTAAATGCATCTTCTGAGACACACAACACCTGCAAAATATACTTGTGTATCTAATAATTGTATTAAATTAGGTGAATACATGTATGAATGACAAAATGAGGAGAATAGGTCCCCATTCATCAGAATTTCAGTAAATAATAAAATGTCAGTAAAAATAAATCAGTTACATACTCCAGCAGAGAGTCGTCAAACTTAAGCCCAGTTCATTTAAAACACGACTGCAGTTCGGGGTTGGGTGGACAGTTCTCTGATCCTTTGTCTGTGCTCGTGATGTCAGAGTGGCGTCAGGGTCGGCTCACAAGGATCATCCTGCAGGACGAAGACGTGACAACTAAGATAGAGAGCGACTGGAAGAGACTCAACACGCTGGCGCACTACCAGGTACAGACGTGCATTTACTGCAGAGATCACCTGAAAGTTTGTTTGTTAGCAGTTTCATCCACATGCAACCTTTTAGTAAGAATATAATATTTTCTCCACATTTGAAACATTTTCAGTAAAGAAACTTTTAACTGTTTATCTTGTCTAGTTAACATAAATACCATTTATTATTATTTTCCCTATTTTTTATTCCTTTCTTTGTTCTTGTCCCACAGTGCTTTAATTCCCCTCTTCCCTTCACTCCTTGTATGTATTTAGTCTGTGTTTCTGTCCTCGGTCTGTCGGCTGATTTGGATTTCTGTACAGCCTACACCGTAACCTGCACAAGTGGCTGATGCTGCTGCCGCCAGTCACTTGTGTGCACGATGGAGACAAATAAAATGTTAGGAGAGTGGTATTCACACGTTTTTCCCAAACACTCCAGCAAAAAGTATCCTGAACATCACAGCTGGAATCAATGGTGCTTAACAGACCAATCACAATTGTCGAGAGCTTTAAAAGTGCAGTTACATTTCTACCAGCAGCAGGTCGGGTTATGTCTCCACTATACAGTAAAAAGGAAGGTAGTGTTCATATTTCCACTCCTGATTTTAGCACCATTGTGTTAATAACTGAAGACCTTATGTAAGATTACATATAAGTCTTTCATTAATAGCTTAGTGGAATTCCTGACTTTTGCACACTAATGGGAAACATTGCTTTGTTACAGAAACCAGCCGAACATGTTGTTTGGTGAAAAGAACAGATGTTTTACTTGAAGAAGTCAATAAATCTTCTCAGTTTTCTTTCACAAATACAAGAAAGAATTGAAAATTAGACAGTTTGAAACTACTGACAACCACAAGCCAAACCTTTGAACCCAGACAGCACCAAAGCTTTGATTTACGTAACATTATCCAGGAAAACTCTTATATTTAACATAATGTAATGGAACATACTATATAGTATAAGGAAACATAAAATTCTATTGCATGAAGTATTGTGATATAGTGTAACATAATGTAATCTAATATACATACAGTATAAGATCATTTTGAGGATTAAGAAGACTGTTGAAGATGTAATAGAATGAAAGAATGGTCTAATGTAAGTATACAGTCAGTCCACTTCATAATACTTAAACGGCACTCGTAAAATGACTGTGCAGCTGCAGATTGAAAACATTTCCTCTTGCCGATTTATTAAAATCTCAGCGGCCTGTGCACCCTCGCTCTCTGTTTGAGCTCCGAGCAAGTTCGTGTTCTTCATCAGCTCCTGCAGCGGCACGTGTGGATTTTATCAAGATTGTGGACGGGATAAGAATCGACTGGCTGAACGGATAATTAGTCAGCTGATTGATGGAGCAATTGGCTGACTAACTGATGTTTCACTGTGCATTGCTAGGTAACAGACGGCTCCGTGGTGGCGCTCGTCCAGAAGCAGGTTTCTGCCTACAACATCGCCAACTCCTTCACCTTCACCAGATCGCTGAGCAGATACGGTACTGAGCGCGCTCGCTCACACACACACACACACACACACACACACACACACACACACACACACACACACAGTTATTAGGTTTTCTTGCTGGCCAGTTCTGCATCGTGTTTTATTGGCAGGGTTAATGGTTTCCAGACTTTTCATATATCAAATGCATCATTCTGGTTTATTTCACCTGACTGTATTTCCCGTTTCTATTACCTCCTCATAGGTCATGCAAACTTTTCATTCTCTACCACATTGCACATATTTCAAGAAATGGAGGAAAGTTTAATTTAGCAACAGTCCAAACATTTTTTTAACTGCAATTTAACATTTGCTGTACTGCCTGTACACGCTGCAGAAATGCCAGCATATCTGTTTTTAACAAACCTGAGGTAGCCTGGAGTCCTTCAAGTTTCAAGGTTATCATGACTGCCAATGGCATCGCCCGCTTGGACTGAATCCGCCACAGTATTAACACTGTGGTGGACTGCTGGCTCTAAAAGCAGCTCAGTGCATCCATTCAATTTGCTTATAAATCAAAGTAATGAGGGTTTGAAACGTCTTCACAAACTTAAAGAATGCTTTATGCTTCCTCCTTCTTCTGGTTTTTAAACTCGTACCATGATCTGGATTACTGGTAACCTGTACGGACAACCCAACCTCTACAGGAAGTCTCTCTCTTTTGTGTTTGAGCACAGCAGGAACTAGCAACTATCAAAGTTAGAAGAACGGCGTTTTTAGTCTTTAGTCTTTTGATATGAGTATACGGTGATTGATTTAGACAGTGTGGCAACACCATCAATCACCATCTTCAAACATGTTTTTAGGAAACAGTTGGCTCCAAAACTGGAAGCAAACACAGAGGATTGGACCGACAGTGAAGTGACAGAGAAAATCTAACACGATATTCACTCATCAAAATGAATTTTTTGTTCTCATGTCTTCTCAGCTTGCTACCTTCAGTGTCTGCCCACAGCTAGTTAACGTGAAGAGGAAATAAATGTATTTAACACGTCTGAGAGTCACAATAACTTTGGAGGTGGAAAGTAAAAGTTAGCACAACTCACTGAGACGCTACAGACGAATTAATGGGGAACACAGCAGTCAGAAATAATAATAATCTGAGATTGATTTAATCCATAACACTTGCGAGATTACAGCGTTTACATTCCGTTGGTGAAAAGAAATTTTACACAGATGTATTTTTGAGGGCGTTACAAGTTATACAGATGTGGTTTGTTGGAAGTTATGCACAATGACTGTTTACCTTTATAGCTATAGCAGCTGTGTGGAAAACAGTGAAAGTTTAGTTTATATCCAGGCCAGATGTTGTTGTTCAGTTCTCACCATTAAAGCACAGTATTGACTCACAAAATCAGTGTTCAGCCTCTTCTTTTCTAACCAGATGACTAATCAGGAACATCTTTCTCTCTGTTTGTGCCATCAGAGTCTTTACTGAGAACATCCAGCAGTCCCGACAGCCTGAGATCCAGAGCTCCAATGATCACCCCAGACCAGGAAACTGGTAATATGGCAGCAGATATACTCAGATATAGTAACTTTCTTTACATTAGGATACATCTGTGGTGTTTTCATGTGTTAGACCTTTAAGTTTGTTTCAAAGATGCTGTGAAAGATGAACAGGATTCATTGCTTGTGTTGAGACAGCATTACATTTAACTTCTGTGACAGCACAGTCATGATCTTTGATATACTTGGACGTTTTGTCTATCTCAGACAAAAACTCTGCCAAGAAAAAGGAAATTATATTATCTAGATACCAAAAATGATAATATTGGAGTTCTATAGTTAATGAATAACACCTGAAATAAAGTTTGACACAGGGTACCTACAGAGTGATGCCAGTTTTTTGGCAAATTTGCAGGTAATTGCTTCAAATAAATTGATAATAAACCAAAGAAAGGAGTAAAACTGAGACTTCTGTGGCTTCTGGAAAACTGGGATTGGTAATCGAGCCTTTGTGTCTTTCCAGGAACTAAACTGTGGCACCTGGTGAAAAATCATGAGCACAGCGACCAGAGAGAAGGAGACCGTGGCAGCAAGATGGTTTCTGAAATCTACCTGACCAGACTTCTAGCAACCAAGGTACCTCAAACAAAACAGCACAAGCCTTCACAGATGTCAGTGTGGGGCTTAAGATTAAAGTTACAGTAATGCCTTAAAGTATGGCTGTAATAATCATCTTCATTGTACGCAGAGACTGTAGTTTCAGAAGATGTACATTTTGTATATTATAATCTAGTTTAATTAAAATAGGTAAATTGTTAATTTTAACCTTCTGAATTTGTCCAATGTTTCTGGTTAATGATCTTTTTTTTCTATTATCTAATTTTTAAATATTTAAACCTTTGTTTTGGTCCTCGCACCAACAGGGGACGCTGCAGAAGTTTGTGGATGACCTGTTTGAGACTGTGTTTAGCACCGCCCATCGTGGCTCTGCACTCCCATTGGCCATAAAATACATGTTCGACTTCTTAGACGAGCAGGCCGACAAACGACAGATAACTGACCCAGACGTCCGACACACCTGGAAGAGCAACTGGTGAGAGAAAGTTGCTCAAGAATGTGGATTTTAAAAAAATTATAAGGTAAAGTCACAGCTGTTTAAATGTTTTTTAAAAACATCTCTTTTCTCTGTTCTTGCAGCCTTCCTCTCAGGTTCTGGGTGAATGTTATTAAGAATCCTCAGTTTGTGTTTGACATCCACAAGAGCAGCATCACCGACGCTTGCTTGTCAGTCGTCGCTCAGACCTTCATGGATTCCTGCTCGACGTCTGAACATCGGCTCGGCAAAGACTCTCCATCCAACAAACTGCTCTACGCGAAGGACATCCCCAACTACAAGAGCTGGGTGGAAAGGTAGATAGCACGCTAACTTATTAACTAATACATCCTGTGTAAAGCAAGTATCTAACATGTTAATTAATTTATATATTTAAGAAAAATAAATGAGTGAGCTGGGTTTAGGTGTAAATAACCAGTTAACTAACCTGCTAATATTAGCTGATGCCCTATGACAAGAAAGTGACTGATCAATATAACCTGTCAGAATTAATATGTTAAAGTAGCTACTACAGCTTAATTTACATTCTGAAGAGCAGAACTGTAGAAAGACAGAAAGAAGAAAGGCTTGCAGAGACTGAGACTCTTGCCTTATTAGAATAATAGTATGGGGTCATAATCACATTAATTAGTGCTGATGATTAATAAGGCCTGCTCATGCAAAATGTAAAAATATTACACCATTAGAGCTGGCGACTTGGGTAATTATCCTGGTAAATTAACCCAAAAGCTACACATTAACTTGCTGATGCAGTTAAAGTCTGAAGTTAGTCACCACAGCTAACTTTGTCTGTGTCCTTCAGGTATTACAGGGATATAGCCAAGATGCCTAGCATCAGCGATCAGGACATGGACGCATACCTGGTGGAGCAGTCCCGACTCCACGGAAATGAGTTCAACACACTGAGTGCACTCAGCGAGCTCTACTTCTACATCAACAAGTACAAGGAAGAGGTGAGTGAGTTAGTAACTTTGAGGTTTGACATTGGCATTCGCTACATGACTGATGTTGTAAAAGCAACTAACACGACCTTCCAGTTCTTTGGTTCCCCTTAAGACTTGCCTCATCAACTTATCTTACATGGCAGTAAAATAATAAATCAGCTAGTCATCCAACCCTGACCTTGAGCAAGACGATCCTTTCCCACATCCTCTGAACCACTCGTAGCACCTCTATCAAAATAACATTTTCACTGATGCACGAACAAGTTTGTTTATATCAGGGACATGAAGCAATACCCTTAGCTGATATCATTTCTTCTGTTTTTCCCGCATGTGCAGATCCTAACAGCACTGGACCGGGATGGGTACTGTCGCAAACACAAACTGAGGCACAAACTGGAGCAAGCCATCAATCTGATGTCTGGAAGCAGCTGAGAGAAGGGGAAGGATGAATGGACTGATGGATTGATGGATGGGGGGGGGGGGGGGGGGGGGGGCGTGGGAAGATGAATGGGGGAGGGGGAAATGAGGGCATTTGGTTTTTCTGAACTGTTTAAACAGTCAGCCGAACTGCTCCATGTTGGACCGAACTGACAGCCGCAGCTCCAGTTGCATTAGCAATCAATCTATCAGTAATTTATTTGTCAGTTGATGGATTGATTGACTTGAAGATCGACTGGCTGGGTGGGACCCCAACTACCTCCATTTGGTGGATTTTTGGGGTGGAAAATTGATTTCCAAACCGATGCGGATACATTTACTATGGAACTTTGAGTCATTTGGGGGCAAAAAATAACCCTTCTAGATGCATCTGTCGGTTTGGATTTGATTTTACTGCAAGCAGGGATCAAACACAGGGGATGTAGCTATGGGCTAAAGACTGTGTCACGTTTCTCCGAACAGTGGATGTGATGTGAGAACAAAGTGACCTGACTTCAGCTTGCTTCGGAATTTAACAGGTGCTTGGTTGAAAGGTCGGATCAAGTTTCCATGAAAGCTACAGACTACACTTTGAAAAGCTTGTTCTGTCTGAAGGATCAAGAAACTACGCCTATGGTCAGACAGTCACAGGAAAAACACAACAGGCTGGATTGAACTTTAAGAGCCTCATCATAATCTGAACAAGTCCAGGGCTAAGTCAAGGCCTACCACAGAGGTTCAAAGCCTCTTTACTGATGTCGTAACTTTGGACCACTTATCCTCAACCATACCCTTAGCATTGTCTGGAAGAATCCACTGTAAGGAAGTCAGGTCAGAACTTGAGGCTGGAAGCGACAAAGTCAAGTCACCGATTTGGAATATCTGACCCTACCGTGGACTTTTTTGGATTCAGTTGGTTGTTTTAAGCTTTAATGAAGAAGACGAAAGCAAATAAACTAAATGTCCAATAAACCGATGGCTTGACCTTAACTTGAAATCACTGGATGCTAAGAGGATTTGGACATAGAGTAATAAGGACTCTGAAGGGAGATGATATAACTTGACCTTGGACTTGTTCGGCCAAGCCTCGTCAGGATCTAAATGTTTCTAAGTTGCTGTTTAAATAACCACTCGATTCTCTGGACAATCACTCTATACCACAGCACACTGAGCCCGATGCCTACTGACAGACCAGTACCTGTGTCCATAACCGTTTCCCGTCCTCCCTCTTTTCTTCACAGTCCATCAGAAGTTTACCTCCTAATTTTCCTCGTCCTACTCCTTCTCTACCTTCCTTTTCTTTCCTTCTTCGCTCTTTCTCCCCACCTTTGATTCCTGCTCATCCTCGACCCTCGACCCTCCATCATTGGTCAGTCATGCTGGCCTCTGGCCATCCTACTGGCCAAGAAGACTCTTTAGTAATGTACTGCCCGACCAATCAAGACTGTGGAATTCGCCAGAATTGTGAATAATTTACTAGAAGTGAATATAAACGAATATAGCATTACGTTTTGAATACATTCCAGCACAGGCACACAGGCAAGGTCTGTAAATAAGTAGGTTGACTGTAGAATTTTTCAACAGAAAAAATCTCCAAAAGTGGAGTAACAGGCATTTTTCAGGCCCACAAGAACCTAGACGCTGGGGTCCTGGATACAAACTTTGACGTTTATTGGTGCAGCGCTTTATCGACAGACCTTGCACATACATATACAGCCATGCTTTACAGCACCATGCTAAACATGCCCAGGGGGAAATACTGTGCAGAGCTACAAGCCCAGTGCCATGTAAAGACCGGACCGGATCACATCAGAACTGGACCGGACTTGGACCAAATCCGGACTGAAAACAACCCGGAATAGAATTTTAGCCGGACCGGACTCAAGAACTCTTAAGACTTGTGGCCATAATTGTAAACAACAAAAAAAAGAAAGATAATAATGATGACAAAGTATAAAAAAAGAATACAAAAGAAAGGAAAAAAATATTGAAATGTTAACATGTAATAAGAACTTTGTGGATTTGACGGTATGGATTTTAAAGAGCTGAACTTGTATACTGAACGTTATGCTACATCAGAATCTGGAGGAAGAGCAAGAGCCAGGAGGCAGAGCGACGGTTCAAGCCAAACCAAGACCGTCCCCTCACCATCGGATCAGGCCCAGACCCAACCAAACTGGATTCAACTGGAGTCTGTTGTGTTAGAAGCTCTGTATGTGGAAGATGAGGAAACAAACTGAACTTTTTGGTGCTTTTATTTGCCAAACTGGTTGTTTGTTTGAACAGATTTCCAGAGCGGCATTGGATGGAGGTTTGTCCTGAAGGTTTGGGTAGCGTTATAGGCAGCGCTTCAGATGGAGTCTGAGCTTTTGTTGCCTCATCCAGGGCTTTCACACACCTAAGTTCTAAAACCTTACAAGTAAAAATTATGCTCACGAAGAAGTTTGGAACTACTGCAACTCAGAAAAGCTCTGTGTGAAAAGCTCTTATTCTCTGTGTGAACGTCGGCCTTTCCAACATGGCAACAATGCACCCTTCAACCTCCCAGTCCCACCTGTGTGGTAGAACATTTTCACATCATGAAACTGGCTTGTAAATATTGCCCAAAGGTCAGTTTGGGATGTAGTTTGATTGCATAGGTATTTGGCCTTTTGAAAACTAAAAACACAAACTAACCTCTACTCAACAATGATTTGAGGCAGATTTTAATCTTCTAGTTCTGTCGAACTATATGACATCCAGCAAACAACTTGCACCAGAACTGGTCAGTCAAAACTAATGTTGTGTAAATGTGTGCCAGTGGAAGACTGGTATGTATTTTTTTGCTTTCCCCTTTTAAATAAGATGCAAACTGCTTCAGGGCCTTTCACGTTTAAGCTTCTAACAGGAACAAGATTTTAGGTCCTCAACTTTTTTGGTGTGTTTAAATATAGTTCAAAAACCAGAAAAGTTCTTGCATATTTCTGCCAACTTACAGCTGATTGCCAGAAAATGTCATTAATGTTAATGTATAAAAAAAATGTTTGATGAGAGGTTTGACTGAATGTAGACCGTAAAGTGTAGACCATTTTTATACACAAGAGGAAAACTAATAGGTAAAAAAAAGTTGTACACACACATGGTGTTTGTAGATTTAAATTGAGAATGAGAAATAACCCAGAAAGCATATCTTTAGCGTAAGATGGTGTCCAGGTTAGTAACCTGCAGGTTAGTCCTATATGCAAACCACAGAAAACCCGAAACATCAATGGTTTTACCAAGCTGTGAAAAAAAACTCAACGGGGTTGTCAAAACTTAAAGCCAGTTTTTTTGCGTGAAAATGTTCTTCCACCATGAAGCATCTGTCTTTTGGCTCTCTGCAATGCCATAGAGCAACCAAGCACCTTTTGTTTTTTCTTTCTTGCTGATGTTTCACTGTCGTTTGAATCTTTGGGGTCAAAAGGACCTGAGTGAGGGAGGGAGGATTGAGGAAAAGGAGGAAAGGGTCCTGATAAAAGACTGCCTTTAAGATGATTAATTGTAGAACAGGGAGGGAAGCCACTACCATACCAATACCACTGTTCACCAACCTGTATGTGTGTGTGTGTGTGTGTGTGTGTGTTTTCCTGCTGCTGCTGCAGTGGAAACTCAGCCATTAAATCACTGATCGTATCTGCAGCTCAATTAAAAATCTTTTTCTTTGTAGTTGCACCGTTTAAATCACCTGATCTGTATCTTTGATGCATTTGAAATCTCAAATCAGATCTCCAGTCTTTTTGTAAAAAAAATAATGAAAATCTCAGCTCGCCCTTTAAACTCAAAGTCATCAAGAACAGATAAATCGGATATAATTCAGCGCATCGTGTTTGATCAGGCTTCACCTTTCTGTTGATGCGATGAGGTGGAGGAGAGAAGAAAACCAGCGAATACTGAAAAAAAAAGGTGCTGGGCGATGCATATAAACTGTAGGGCAGGAGTAAACTCCCTCTGCATGCTGAAAAGTGAGGAAGAGGAGAAATTACTGTTGAACTGCAGAGAGAAGGGGTATTTTTGTGCCAAAAGGTGAAAAAGAAAACCTGAATTCCTTCAAATGTAAATAGGAGAAATAAATGTTAGAGTAACACGGGAGGTTGAGGATGAAAGCGGGAGGTCAGATTCTCTTTTTGCATGCTAAAGTGTGAGGAGGAAGGATGGAGGGAGATGCTGCCGGAATACTGAGAGGGAGGAGAGAGGGAGAATACTGATCAGGCCGAAAAAAGATGGAGGCAACGTCATCCATCAAACCGACTGGGGAAGGAAAGGTCTCTGAGAAGAAGAGGAGGCAAAAACGCTCCATGCTCATTTCAGTTACTCGTGCGAACGTAAAGTTCATTATAGAGAGAAATCAGAGGATGGAAGGTAAAAGTTTTAGGGGCAGGAATGACTAAAGGTGTGCAGGGGCAAATACTAAAGACTGTTTCTGTTATACCTGCACTCCTAGTGTCATGGCAATAGTTGCATAACATGAATCTGTTTTTAGCATTGGTGCCAATGTAGCTTTTTTATGTTAGCATGAACATTAAACAGCACAAGATGTGACTTTAAAATTATAGCTTTTTAGTTTTATGCTGTTTAATGAGATACCCTCAAATTACCAGACCTGACCAGACCATCATCTCAGCAGCTCAGCCCCCCTCTGCTGATCATACTTACACGTGGATAAACAAATGAGCGATTGGCTAGCTAGCATGTCAAGAGCTGGCAGTTTGTAGCACGCTAATTACATGTTGCATTTTCGTCTGGGCAAGGACTGGTTTGTGGCAGAGACATTACAAGAAATCTCCTGCAAAAAGTCCTGAAAAGATCAGCTGTTGATTGGCACTTTCGGATCAATGAGCCTATCAACAGCCACACTATGATAACTATGATAACTACTTACTGTAGCAGAAAGGCTGGATCTACTTAAAGCAGTTTTTACAGATTTAAGTTGTGGTTCCCTGCATGTAGTTTTTATGCTGTCATAGGAATTAATGGTGGGACTGTCTCCACGTTTAATTTAGGGGCTTCAACATAATTGCC